CATATTGCAGTGATACATACCTATCCATATTTATAGCAGCACAATTCATAGCTAAATCTTTGAAACAGCCTGTATACCTATCAACAGATGATTAGATAAAGAAAATGTGGTATTTACATGCAAGAAAGTACTACTCTTCCGTACATGAAAAATTTGAGTCAGTTGTAGAAATGTATATACCTTGAGAACTTAATGTTAAGTGAAATAAATCAGACATACAAGCTTAACTAACCCATGGTTTCTCTTATAAAATGAACCCAAGTTATAAATAAAGAACAGATAATGGGAAGTACAAAGATAATGTCTTTCTCAAATGGGAAGGGGGTCAAAAGGTGGAGGGAAGTATGAGAAAGAGCTAAAAATAAATTAAAATGTGTTATGTGGACATATCAATTCCATATAAGGGATGTAAACATTCTGTAGTGCAAACATATACTAATAAAAAAACTAGCAAAATTGGTTTAACTAAACAGAAAACAATCTTGGAGTACTGGGGGCAAGAAGGATATGAAAAATCAGTTTCTTCTTCATTGGTGAAAGTGCAAATTATCTTGTCATGGACAAAGGGGTTTGTCTCCTTACTCTAAGTTTCTGTAGCTGGTGGAAGGTCATTCTCAGATATTTCCCAAGGATGCAGAGCAAAGAAATCATTTACTTAGCAAGCAAAACAGTGAACTGCATTTCAACCTGAAGTCTTCCTCCTGACTTTGTGGACTTAGCCTCCCCTCTTCTGCTCTGTACCCTGCTCTGATCCATTGGCTACATGGGCTGGACTTTGCAACTAAGTTGCCTGGCTCTCTTTAAATTGACTGCTTTGAGCCCTGGTAAATATTTGTATTTATGTACATAGTAATTGTATGTTAAAAATGATTTGTACATGACATTAGAATTGTGCTCATAAAGAACCCCAGAAAGGCTCCTTCAAGAATGTGGTAGCAAATTTCTTTTGCTCTTTCTCAAATGAAAAGATAAAGCGAAGGTAAAATCTTGTCTTGGATGCCTGAAAAATAACTAATTAATAATTTACAAGCATTCCACCTAAAGGAAGAATCAATAGAGAAAAAAAGATGAAGGGAGAACAATCCAGTAAGTAACTTCATACTTATACAGCACATTATTACATTTCTGGAGTTCTATATTATCTGGAGTTCTATATTATTCTGGAGTTCTATATTATTTATATATAGTAGGCACTCAATATATATTTGTTATTTGAATTGAATAAGGATTTTTTTTCTCTTTAGTGATCTTTAAGGAACATTTGGCTTTACTGTATTGATCAAATAATTATAGTATTTGGTGCCAATTGTTCAACTTAAAAAAATAATTATTTTTAAAAATCTTTCGATTTTTGTAATGATCTGCTACATTCCCAGATCTACCTCTTCAATGCTTGCTTACCATTATTTATGAGACTGTGGGCAATGGATTCATTGCCTTTATTAGTGGTTATCAAATTCTAGATTCATTTGGAACTTCATTTTAAAATGTAGTTTCCTGGGTTTCCCTACATGCATTGTTCTTAGGTCTGAGACAGGAACCTACATTTTAGAAGGATCCTGAGAGATGGAAGTACAGACAATTCAAAGAGCACATTTTAGAAACCTATTCAGATAGTTTACCCCACCCTACTCTCAGGGACAAGTTTCGTTTAGAGCAGAAAGAAGACGTAGAATCAACAGTACCTTACTAGCACAAGATACCAGTTCTGCCCTAAGACAAAAATCTACCTGGTCTTAACTTGTGCCATGGTACCTAGTTCCACGATATTTCTGGACTTCACTGATTGCTAGAGAAGTAGAGAGTTGTTTGCTTCTAAATCCCATATTTAATGTTCTTCTGCTTCTTCACCCAAGACCACTCTGTCTCTGTGCCTGTTTGAAGGTCTCTGGTACCAGTTAGACATCCTTTTATTTCCCATCTTGCTGTTGTGAGATTGCTAAGGGCCTCATCCTAAAGTTAAAACTTCACTCCTTAGGGAATGCAGTCCTGCCTGATAGGCAGACAACTCTTCTCCAGAATTAGCCAAAAGTAATAGGTTAATCATGGTGTAAGTTACCCTATAAAAGATCATCTCTCTCTATCTGTGGTAAAATGGAAGATTATACCTGCTTGTTTGGCAGAGGAACCATTAAATGTTACAGAACAAGTTGAAACACATAATTTTTGTTACATACAGCCTCACATAAAAAATAGCCCAAAGTCAATGCAGACTGAAGTGTTTTTAATTGGCCTTCAGACTACTACAGTAGATTGATATAATACTCTTATCTCAAAAAAGAACCCTGCATAAAACCTTTGCATCATGTGTTGAAATAATGAAAAAGAGGTAAGAGCCTCCGTTCAGCTCCCTTCCACAGGATTTTTTGTGGCCAAGGAGAACAGACAGTATTTATCTACTTCCTGCTTGGTTCTTGAACAGATGCTGAGCTGTCATAGCTTGGAATGATGAATTCAGTTAGCCACAGTCACTGTCCATAAGTCAAGGAAAATGGATTATGTGTGAAGGGCTGGAGAGGACAAAGGCCCACCAGACACTGGTTATACAGCGCCTGTTTTCAGAATATGGACTGAAGTTCATGTTATTGGCAAGCACTTTCATCCCCACATGGTAACTGTACTCATGTGCTTGAATATAAGAATAAGCTTCAGAGGCCAGGCGTGGTGGCTCACACCTGTAATCCCAGCACTCAGGAGGCTGAGGCAGGAGGATCGTTGCAAGTTCGAGACCAGCCTGGGCTACAAAGTGAGTTCAAGGCCAGCCTGAACTGCATAGAGACCCTGTCTCAAAAAGACAAGAAAAAAAATAATAAGCTTCAGATAGGAATAGAACAACTTGAAATGATTTCCTTCTCTGTCTTGGTTCACTCACCTACCCGGAAAATACAGTATTTAAAAACAAATACTGTCTATATGATAGGAGTCAACTGCTGTGGCCTCTACCTTCATGATACTTATCTCATAGTAGAGTTTATGTCATTAATTTTATTTAGACAGAGATCCTATGCTCTCACTTGTCTCTGTCAGATGAAAGAACACTGTAAGTCTAGCAACAGTAAGCAGTAGAAGTGGTAAGAATTGCCCCTTAGGAGCACCAAAACAACAAGTCATATGCCAGCAACTACACAAATCTTAATGCTTACATTAAAGGTACAAATCAAGAAGAAGGAAGATGCCTACAGATTAAGCAGAGAGCTTACTTACTAAAACAGACCACTCACCTCTATAATGGAAGCTTCTGACTGTAGGAGCTCCTGGATGGAACCCAAGGATTTGCATGTCTAACAAGTCCAACATATGATTGTTGCTCCTAGTCTCAGAACACATTTGAGAACTACTGGCTTAAGCAAATTTATAGAACAGTCTTGGAAATGTTGCTGTTAATAACCTTGCTCTGGGTTCTTTAAAATCTCTCCCATTTAATGTAAGTCTCCAACCTGGCCTGAATTTCCAAGTCCCCAGCCTGTTGTCACAGAAGCATTACTCTGTAGGGAACTCAGCTCAGCACTGAAGCCATAATTAGCAAACACAGGAAAGGAGGTAAGATAAAACAAGGCAATTTGTAGATCCTAAGGACATCAGTAGATACCAAAAAATTGACAACAGACTCTTCAAAGGACTCTGCCCACGGAGACAGAAGGTTGGCCAAAAATCTCTAAGCACAAATGTTCATTGGGATCTTCCCCACTAATGCCCCCTGCCTGTCTCCATCCCTATAAAAGGGACATACTTATCTTTCTTCGGGGCAGAAGGTCTTTCCACACTCTGCCTAAACCCAGGCACAACCTTACCGTGTTGCCCTTACACAAGCCTGGTGGTCTCGATTTTTTATCCATGTTACATGTATATATATTTTTGTGTTTACATCTATACATATTAGATCTCTTCCTATGTATATTATATATAATATATATTATTGAGTCATACAGATTGCTATGTCACCCTTTTTACTTAATACTTCACAAACATCTTTTCAAATCAGTGTAGTTCTACAACATAATCTGATAAATCCTTTAAATTGATGGATCATAATTATTCAGATGTTTCCTTTTTGCTGGACATTTAAGTTGCCACATCAGTTTTTTGTGATCATACAGAATTAGCAAAAATGCTCTGCTAAATCTTTATTTACACTCTTAATTGGTCCCTAAAGACAAATTTTCAGAAAAAAAAAATACCGAGCTGAAATTTATGTAGATTTGTAAAAGCTCTTAGGATATTGTTAGAATACCCTATATAGAGAAATATTGGATCGTTTTACATGCCCACAAACAGTATATAGTTATGTTTTCACACTTTTCATACAGCACTGAGTGTTTGTTATGGGATCTGCCAATTTAGTAGATGCTATCTTGTTCACATTTTTGTTTCCAATTGTCAGTAAGGATAGTAGTACCACTTACCCACTGATATCACACTTCTGCCCTTGTCCCTATATGAATCTGGAACTTAAATTACTATTCCTCCTCCGTCCCCCCACCTCCTCTTCCTCATTGAGACAAGATCATGCTATGCAGCCCAGGTTAGCCTTGAACTCCCAATCCTCTTGCCTCAGCTTTCTGAGTGTTGGGACTGCAGGCATGTACCACCTCACCCAGGTCCATATTATCAACTCTTGAACTCTTGGAAGAGTAATTTTTTAAGCTTTATGTATTTAATATTTTGTAAGATCCAGCATGTTATTTTTATTTACCACAAACAAATCCCAGCATACAACAGCTTTTACTGTATCATGTAATATTTGAGAAAATAAAATTGGTACAGAAACTGTATTTTCCATTTTCTGCTGAGATACACAAGTTTCTCAATATGTTAAATAATTGGTTATAATTATAACTGACCACGTTTTACTCAGGAAATCAAGTATCGACTGTGATTAAAAGAGAAAGCCGACACAGCAATGACCCTGCTATCAATATTTATCGAGTAACCACATGCTGTGAACACTGAACTGATGTTTCTTGGTGATACACTAAACCAGACTTCTTGTTAATACACAGGGACTATTAGGTGAAAAATATGGGAACATCCGAATTCCCGGAGAAGTTGAAGCCTCGGAGTTTGAGATGATTTTGGATGCTGCCATCGAGGCGAAGTTGGAGACTAAGTTACTGGAAGAATGGTACTGTCGGGATGAGAACTCAGTGCCAGCAGCTTATTACCTCAGACCCAAATCGGAAATGCTGAAAAGCAATAAAAATGCAGTAAGTCCCCTTCGTTCCGTCTCTCTACATTGTCCTTGTCATCCAGGGCCAGGTTTCTTCCTGAACAGACACAGTAGGTGGAAAGGCTTTTCAAGCGCACTGTGCTGTAGCCCTAAACTTTCTTTTAACAAGGGAGTCCATGCTAATCATTGGGGAAACAAAAACAAAAACCACCCTAAGGGCAAAAGGCAAGTGCTGGTGAGGACTGGAAATTTGTGCAACCAGTGCAATGATAATAGAACAACTCACCAAAAAAAGTGAAATGGGGTAGAGATGTAGCTCAGGGGTAGAGTGCTTACCTAGCAATCACAAGGCTCTGAGTTCAATCCCAGCGCCACACGTGCACACACATTCTCTCTCTCTCTATCTATCTCTCTGTCTCTGTCTCTCTCTGTCTCTCTCTCTCTCTCTGTCTCTCTCTCTCTCTCTCTCTCTCTCTCTCTTTCTGACCCAAACAGGATCCGATTATACAGTAAAAGAAAGTTTGTTTTTTTTGGCCACAGAAAGAAAAGCCAGGGGAAATAAGCCTTACTAAAAACTTTCTACCTGAACAAAGGAGTGGGCCCTTTTAAGAGAAAGGAAAGGATTTTTGTTAATGAGCAGGGGGGCATGACTTTTTCTGGGGAGGAGATCAGATTTATTCAGAACACATGGAACTGTTCTTTGTTAATCCTTAAATAGGTCAGTTTCCTTATGTCTGTGCTATTTTGCAGATCATCTCAGATTTTTTTTTTTTTTTTTTGGTTCACCAACACTTTTTTAGGTCTAGGTACTCTGACCATACTGTGAGCTTCCAAATTCAACAGTTAGAATTTTTATTTTGCAACAGGTTTTCTATGTGGTCTTTTGAAGGGAGGGTATTGTGTTAGAGGGTGTTTTGTGGGAATAATCCTTTTTAAAATCTAGCTATTTCTTGGTCTCCTTTTAAAATTTGATATGTCTCCTTTAATATTTCAAACAATGAATGTATGCTCCTTTATCTAACATGCTGTGAAGTTGATTCCCTCCAGCTTGGCTCCCAGCCTCTCTACTGTGGGTTCCCTAATACTGAATGGAAGAACTGAGGAAGAAGTTGGTGCATAGAATGTTGAGAGAGATTTTTTTAAGCCATAAATATCTATCTTTCTAAAAGAGAGCATCCTTGACATGATCAGCCAAAAGCAGCTTCAAGGGGAGGAGAAAAGTTCCCATTTTAGGACCTCATTTTAGGACCTCATATATGTCTTTCAAATAGTCAACATAAAGGATCTTCTCTATGAAGTATGAAACCACATCAGAACTCTTGACTTTTTTTTGTTCTCCTCACCTGCATTATTCAGAGTAACTCTATAAAAATATTACTTCTCTGGACAGGTGTATTTCGGTAATCTCAAACCATTCCCCAGTTAAATATGCTAGGAATAAATGTAGATAACAAAGAGTGTGAAACCTCAAGTCACTGGTTTGCACTGTGGTTTGGGAGCACTTGCTTATTATGTGTTACTATTTAATTTGCTCTATTTATTCCATCTTCATTTATTTCCTCAATCATTTAGGGAAATGTAAATTATTCCCCAAACTCCACATGCTATTTCTGCATAATTTGTGGTGGTATAAATGAATATATGAATAAGATTATCATCAAGACTACATAAATGTTTCTTCCTTGGTAGGCAATCCTCTTATTTGATTTCCTAGTAGATTATCAAAATCAGTGAGGCAGAAGCAACTAAAAGCAGTTAAATCATAACCTCTTGCATTAGTCAACTCTCCATCAATGGGATAAGATAGCTGACACCTGCAATGTTAAAAAGAAGGGATTTATTTAGACATGTCCAAAAGGCTAGAGCTAGGGTTAGAGTTAGGTTAGGCGGAGGAAATGAGACACTATAGAGAACCTGTGATAGTATCGGCACATAGTAGGTCTTCAAGTAAGAGGAATTCTTTTGCTCTTAAATACTATTTTTTCTTTGATGATTTTATAGATAACTTTTCACTTTTATCTTTCCATAGACAGAGCCTCCTAGCAACGCTGAAAATGAGAAGCCGTGGCAAGAGATATCAGATGAGATTAAGATGATATTTAAGGCCGCAGTCAAATTGTTACATGAAAAGGGTAAAATGAAACACAGCCAAGCTAAGAGGTACCTGTTCTCAGGTAATTTTCGCACATCTTCAGTAAACTAAGGAAGAGACAAAGAATAGATGAGTTTACTGCATCCTTTTTAAGGTTCTACAAATTTAATCACATTTGCTGCCTGAAAAATATAATATTTCTGAATGTTTTTGTGTCCTGGAGAAACAAGTGTTCCTTTGTTTCAGCTCATAGAAAACCCTTAACTGGAGAGCTGCTCCAGGAAATGTGATTCTGAGGTCAGAAGTGGCTGGATGTGACAGACCAGATTCTACCACGTTTCTTCACTGGGCTGACCCTTCATTCACTCCCTCGGGTGCCCAGCACACACTGATGGACACGTAGCCTACTTTGTGCCAAGTACTGGGGAGATGACAGTGAATATAGAAAAAAAAAGATCTGTTTGTTCTCCTGGGTCTTATTTTTTGGTGGGGGAAAATAAACAATAGTCAATTCAAGTAAATGAACAAGATCGCAGAAATGATACGTAGTTGAATAAAATAAAGCACAGTTATAGGATGATAGGGACTGTTGAATAATTCAGGCATCTGGACATTGATAGGGTGGGCAATAAGGAGATGACCTTTGAACTGAAAGGCAGCAGGGGTCAGAGCTGGTAGTGCCATGCCTGTCTAGGGTAGAGAATCCCAGACAGGAGGACCAACAGCTTCAAGGTCCCTGAGACTGGAATGTGTTTAGCAAATTCCAGGAGAGGGAGAAGGTCTAGGTAGCCAGGTTCAAGAGGGAAAGATGAGGCTTTAAGGTGGACAGGCTATCTATCATTAGAAAATTTCATTTTCTATTCCAGGTGACACAGGAAAGCGGGCGCAAAGAGTGGCAGGATCTAATGTAACCTTAACAAAACAGTTTCCCCAGCTTCTGAGCAGGGATTCGCTTGTCAGCCTTTCTAGCCTTGGAAAAGAAGCTTCATATTAGAAGTTACACAGAAAGCCACAGATCTGAAGAAGTCATCATTTCTAGAGAACAAACAGTTCTTTTAAAACCAGCAAATGTGCAATATAGCATTTACTGATAGCAAAGGATTATTGAGGAAGAAACAGTAGAGTTGCATTTTCAGGCTGGTTTTTGAATGGTATGGCAAAAGTATGTGTAAAAACCTAGAGGTTTTGAACCATGCTCCAATTTATTTCACATTATTTTGACATAGTCCAAAGGTGTCTTGGTTATTTTTCTCTCATTATTAGGACAAAACACCTGGCACCCCAAATGAAAGAAGGAAAAGTTTATTTAGCTTACAATTTGTAGAGGTTCTAGTCCATAATCAGCTGGCTCCAAGGCAGGACAGCATGGCACCAGGGCAACATTTCAAGGCAGCAGCCAGGAAAAGCAGAAGAGGAGAAGGGAAAGCCTCTTTTTCTCCCTTATATTGTACACAGGCCACCCCACCTCCAGGGCAGGTGTAGCACTCACAAAATCTCCTTGTCCTCCTTTTGATCAGGAGGAAGATATTTACAGAGTAAGAAAGCTGACTCCCTGTTCAGACTCTTAGTTAAACTTCCAAACTTCTCAAATGGACACAAGGTATCAACCATAACCAAAAGGAAACTATCAAAAAAACTGCACATTATTTTTTATCTCCCTAAAAATAGTAAAATTGTCAGAAATAAGTACTACATATCTTTAGAGTATACAGGTTAACCCTTATCCTAGTTTGTTTAGTACCTTTTGATCCATTTTAAGGCTCTGTCTCTTCATCTTCATGAATGATATAACCCTGTTCTAAAAATGTGCTAGATTTGAAAAATTCTCAATGCAAAGCTTTCCTGCCCTTTTCATAAAAAAAAAAACACCCATTTGAGGAAAGCACAACATCTTACCATCATGCAGCTCCAGTGTGAGAGTACTATCCTGTCAAGCACTCTCCCATAATTTCATCCATTCTAAAGAACTTGTCCACACGGATAATAGCCACACAAAGATCAATCATTCATATGAACTACTGCAAATTGACTATTCTCCGCTTGGAATTAGATTTCCTAAACATATACATACTCGTGGTTTTTTATTTCTTGCACATTTCAAACTCATTTTGAGAACATGCCAAATTTTTATCACAATCAAAACTGGTGAAATGCCAACTGTTTCAAATAGATGTAATATAATCTCTAACATTTTCAGACATCTTGAAAATAAGAGCATGAGAAAGAAATATAAACATACATTACTTTTCATTTGAATACAGTTTTTCTTCTGGTTTTACCCTGTTTAAACAAGAAGAGAAAAGAAATAGATTACACTTGAAACTGGTACCCTTCGGTGGATGTCAAAATTGAGCAGCTTTGGGAATAACACAGAGAGTAGTATCTCATAGATGTATGAGGGCCAGAAATCTGTCCCCAGTGTTACCTTCACCAGGTTTTATAACAATAAACTGTTGTATTTTGGGGAAAGTGCAAAGACAGAAAACAAATACACTATTTTAGTAAGGAGAAGGAAAAATTGTAACATTTGTACACAAACATCAAGAATTCTATTAGCTTTCTGATACTGTAACAAACACTCAAGGTCACAAGCTTAAAGAGATAAAAGGTTTATTTTGTCTAGCAGTTATGGAACTTTCGGTGCATGATCAGTTGGTCCCTTTGCTTTTGAGTCTATGCTGCAGCAACACATCATGGTGACAGCAAATGGCAAAACATGTCATATCCAAGAACAAAAGAGAGAATGAGGAGAGACAGGGGTCCCACTATCCCACTGGAGAGCAAGCCCTAATGACCTAAAACTTCCCACTGGGCCACAACTCTGCCAGGCTTCACCATGTGCCAGTGGTACCACAGGGAGGAGGAAGTCTGTAACACCTGGACCTTTGAAGCATGTTCCAAATCCATACTGTAGTGATAAATATGAAAAGTCCCCAGAATCATGAGGATCCACCTCACTTCCAAAAATCACTATATAGAGTTAACTTGGCACTTCTCACTCAGGTTCATTTACTAAATGTGAGTCATTCTAGACACACTGTGTGCAACCTCTTCCCCTACCCCAGCCAAGCTTAGATGGATTCTTGTAACTTATTCATATCTCTTTTAATGTCCCCAAACTCTTAACTGACACATGTGAGACTTCAGCTGAGTTGTCCACTGGGAGTCCCAGTGGCACTGTGCATTTCTGGTCATCAGGCATCCTGGCCAGATCCGTAGCTGGACCTCCTCCTTTCTCTCCCTGACCATTGGAGAATGTAGTAGTCTGCTAAGCCACCGTGCTTACACATTGCTGGAGAAGAGATGGTAGAATATGCTTTCTACACTAACTCATTGCATCTGTATTTCTCGCATCTGTCTTTGTCTATCTTGTAACAAGTACTTAATTCTTCTATAAAAAGAAAAGCAGACACATATTGTATAAACCCCTGTAACAGGCCTCCTTAATCAGCTTGCCTGATAAAAACCCTTTATTATAATATACAGATGCACGTGTCACAACTTACTAAGCACTGTTGGCTCTAAACATGTCTTTTTCACTTGAATCAGACATTTTTATGGGTAGTTATTATTATGTAAAAAACAATACCACAAGTTCTACTACACATCATTTTTTAAAAGGAACTTCTTTAACAGTTACTTTATTGAATAGACATGTGTATATCTTAGGCTTCGCTTGATAACGAAGTTGTCTCCGTTACACTGAAATGTATTAAGTTTCTGGCCAGAGCAGCCCTGTGTATTCAGGACCCTCTCCCCACCCCACTTCCATCAGATCCCTGTTAGGAGTCTCCTCCAGCAGAAAGCTTTCTCTGACTTCCCCGAAAGGGGTAGAACTCTGTCTGTGTGCTCCCTTGCACCATGTTTTTCCCTACTGCAGGCCTAAGGACAGTCATAATATTTGTGGGAATCTAGAATTGATACCTGTCATCCTCTACTGAACCATAAACTCCATGCACTAGTACTCCGGGGCTGCCATTAAAGAACACTATACCCTGTATAGATTATTAACAACAGAAGTTTGTAACAGGTGGAAGTCAAAGACTGAGGCTCCTGCAGATTTGATGTCTGGTGAGGACCCACTTCCTGGTTGAGAGATGGGGTGTCCTTCTTGCCTCCTCACAGGGAGCAACGTCAGCAGAGATAAGATTGTGACTTTGTAGATCAGAGTGTCTATTAAATTTACCAGATAATATCATCAGGTTCCATGTCAACAGGTCTGTAAAATGTTTATTATAAAAGCCAACTGTTAATCTTAAATTGTTTGAGGTGAGCAATATCTGATTAGTAGGAGTTGAGATTGATGGTTTATAGAACTTTTCTCCAATATTTGGTTGTCAAGAATGTTATCTGGATTTTCTGCTTCTGTTTTACCTCCAATAGAGCTTAAATTAGGCCTGGCCCCTTGCTTAAGGGCACTGATCTTTTTTTAAGGGGCACTCATCTCATTCATGAAGGATCCACCCCCATGACCTCATCACCTAGTAAAACTCCAGCAGGATTAGTATCTGGGGTTTAGGTTACAACACACAGATTTTCAGGGAAAACACAGATAGTCCATCTGTGGCAATCCATACGGCCTCTTCTCTCAGTACTGTCTGCTTTGTCTCTCCATTGTATCCTAAGCAACCAGCAGGACGCTAGCACAGGGTTTGTGCTCAGTGAAAACCACTGGAGAAAAAGGGAAAAGCACGAGAGGGAGGGTAATAGCCAGTTTGAAAGTTCATTTCCATGTGTTTAGTTCTTGTCTTTTCCCCTACACAATGATGCTTTTATCCTGGCTTTAATGTTCTTAAGAGGCCTCAAATGATTTATAATGTAAACTCACTTGTTTGCTCAAATATTGTTGTAAGCCACGTATGCTTAATTTAGAAGAAATAACATTGTGCACTAGGTTATTTTCCTGTGCCTTTTCTGATGTTATGAAATTTAACAATGACACAGGCAATTCATGTCACTCAGTATTCAGAACATGCTGTTGCTGTTGCTCTCACTGTTTTGAGACAGAGTCTCACTAGGTAGCCTAGATTGACCCTCAACTCCCAATCTTCCTGCCTGAGCCTTCTTGATGCTGGAATTATAAGCATGTATCACCCCAACGAGTTTATATTTTGTTTTAAAATATGCTTTTATATTTACATTTGAACATACATGTTCCTAAGTATAATATACTTCAAACAAAATAGAAAAACCAAATTATAAATAATGAGGAATAAGTAAATTAGCTATTGTCATTCAGCCTCCTCCTCTTTCTTTCCTGGTCCCGATTGGTCCCTGCTCTTTTTGCACTCTTAGAAAAACTGAAATAGAAGAAGGAAACTAATAAGGACCTTAAAAATATCAACTATAGGGGCTGGAGATTTAGCTCAGCGACACAAGCGCCTGCCTTGCAAGCAGGCAGTTGTGAGTTCAATCCCCTGTACCGATAAAAGGAAAAAGACAAAAAAATAAAGATCAACTATAAATTGATTTGCTTTATTTCTTATGCTGATGTTTGATCTTTTCCTTCCATCAGGGAAGAAATTAACTAATTTTACTAAAAATTCATTCTTCTGGATTCCAGTCTATTTAGGAAAAGACAAGTTGACAATTTAAAATTTTAGAAATGATTCTAAGGGCTGGTCAGTGGTATGGCACTTGCCTTACATGGACAAAGCCATTGGTTTAATCCCTATTACTTAGAGAATAAAAGAAAAGAGATTACTGTGCTGTAGTTTATAGGTGAAACAGCCTTCCCATTGCCTAATCTGTGCATCAGGAATATAAGCACATTGCTCTTTTACTCATGGCAATAAACTCTGTGTCTCTTTTTTTTTTTTTTCAGCTATTGAGGATGAGTTTGACTTTGCTCTAGGCAAGCAGACACCAGCATTCCTAAAGAAGTGTGTTTGCTACATTAGGAAAATTGCTAACATTGAGCGCTTTGTGAAAATCCCAGAGATGGGGAAATACATGGATATAACTGGAACAGAACCAAGGATTATTCGTGACCCAGAAGCTCAAGAGAAGCTGATCAAACTCAGGGATGAATTTATTCCTACCATAGTTGCATCTTCTAATCTGAGAGTATACACATCTGTTACTCATTGTGACATGAAACTGGGCTATTCTCAAGAAATAGAAAATCATTACATAGAAGGACTTGGTAAGCAATTTTATGAGGACATGATTGATATAATTCAGGCAACGGTACAACAAAATTTTGACACGGAAACTGATACACTCTACGATGAGATCCTGCAGCATTCGTCGCTTTGTAAAACATACGCCTCCTTCTATGAGTACAAATGTGAGGCATTGAACATTGTGCATAAATACATCCTTCCAAGCAAGATAGGGCACATCAACCCTCTTATTATATATGGTGGACCATGCACTGGAAAGACACTTCTGCTAGCCGAAGTAGCAAAGAAGGTAAAAGTCTGTTCTTTCCCATTTTCAGATATCTGCAAAAACTCTTATGAGAAAAGAACGCACTGATCCAACTCATTTCCATTTTCTGAGTTTACTACCTGAAGTATAGTTAGTCCTTTTGGAATGAATATTTCTGTGTTTAATTTTTGTTGGCCTAACAACTGTCTTTGGAGAACAGGACTCATAAGGTACAGCTACAAATCCCCCTGATTTCTTTTTCTCACTGTTAAAACTCATGTGTGGCTAATTCCTCCACTTCATTTGGATGACAAGTAGGGAAAATCCCAAGATCTCTTCTCATCCCCCTCAAGGAGACTAGCCCGCTGTGTGTTTCTAGTCACTAGATCAAGACTAAGTGATAATTAAAACTTCAGTCTGCATTTCTGCCCTCAGCTGAGGCCTTCCATAAGCCAGACACGGACAGTGGCAGTGGGATCATGGCCACCTTCTTTCTTTATCCATGTAGCACTTTCTTCCCTCCTATCCTGACCCAGCCATGCAGATGACCCTATCATTGTGTAGAGAAGGGATATAGGAAATGGAAGGAAGTTCTTACATAACCAATATTTTTGTGAGCTTAGCACTGATTTCCATGTCCCTATGCAGTGTTTAAAGCTACCTCCCATCTCTTCTGAGGCATTTTCATGGTTTTCTGGAAGTTTTTCCTCTCCTGAAAATTGTACCTGACCCCTGCAGAACACCTCTCACTACAGGACAGAGCATCTTCTTTTTCTAGTGCCTTTACTTTGCCAGCTCCTAGACATCCAGCAGTGCATTTCCAGTGTCTTTCTGCTAAGATCCTCTCACAGATTAGCACACTTCTTTGACAGGACCTGGAAAAGGCAGAGCAAGCAAACATAAACGCTTCTTGCTGATGGCCCAGATTAGATACATAGGAACCTCCCTGAGAAACCTACAGGCGAGGCCGAGGACTACTTCACCTGTACATTGCCAAGTGCACAAGAGGTAGACCAGTTAGCCTGCCATTTGCCCTTCTTGTTTCTCAGATGTCATCAGATGCCAGATGTCTTTGTCCTTCAGGCTTTAGAGAAAACTTTATAAGGAGTCCACAGAAGCCCCTTGCCCTGGGCTAGAAGTGACAAGTGGGCATCATTATGACCTCCCCTTTTGAGATGAGGTAGTGAAAAATAGGACCAACGGCATACTCATCTCCAATTTCTATTAAACTGGTCTTCAGAACCTCCCTTTCTAGTCCTAAATGAACATTACTTTGGAAGGTGATACCTATTATTTTTGCTTCCTCCAACTGTGCTGGGCTAAACTGGCTCCATTTTAACTTCCTGATAATGCTTGGTATGTATGCTGGTTTCTATTTTTTTTTTTACAATTAATTGGGAATCTTCACATTGTTCTTCTGTAGCTACTTTCTTATGAACAGAGATTTCTTTAACTTCACATCATGATACCCTGTCATGTCCTACACAGTCTCAAATTGGTGATCTTAAGGACAAAAATAAGACCATCTCTATAGTGCCTTGTGTAGGGATTAGGTTCCAAAGTAAACTCATAGGTGAAAACCAGGTGTATCACATTTGCTTTTGAAAAGTCCTTAAGAGAGCTAATGTACCCAGCATTTCTGTGGATACCATGATTGTAAGACCATTTTCCATAGACATCATATATGCAGCAGCCTGGGTTGGGCAGGAAGGAGAAGGGTGCATATAATCCCTATGATCAATCAGTGTAGGAACAAAATTTTGTTTCTGATTTGCCACCAATGAACAGTTGTGACATGACAATATTATCTTTCTTGAAACCAGCTTCCAAGGTTGGAGCTAAGCACCAACAAAAGGCTTATTTTTCTTAATAGCTTATTATGAAATTGACATCCATATATCTCATTTATTTCTTAACCTGAACTCACTCTCTTGAGGAACACAACTTCATAATTTTACTTCCTAATGTGTGAAATAGTTCCTTTTTCTAAAGAGTATCTTTTGTAAATTTTTAGGATTAATAGAAGATACTCTCTTCTTTAAAATTACTCTTTTGATCATATGCTTTCTCAGCTATAACTTTTCAGACAGAAAAAATACTAAATTTAGTATATACTTTGTTTATTACCGATTTTATCTCCAATGACACAATTTAAAGAAGAAAAGAAACTATTAGAGTGAAATGATTTCTACTCCAACTTTGTCTCATGATGACCATTAAACTCAGAACAAATCATTTAGCTAGATTCATCCTCAGTGTATCCTTTTATTAAATAGTACTGTAATCACATCTACTCTCCAGGGATATAATATGAGAACAGATGACTTCTTTCTTATATAGCAAACCATTATTACAAATCACATCCTCTAACAAAACTCTCTTAACCCACATTGTGAAGATTTTATAAGAAAAACAGTAATCATAATCATGACCCTCAGGACCACAAAAATGTCTCTGAATTATAAAAATTATAGTAACTATAATTTTAATACTGACTATTTTATTACATTCCAATTAACTAGAAAATTTATCAGCTATATTTGGTATTATGTGTTCTCGATGAATGAAAATATTTAACTCATTATAACTTATAAATCATTACTTAATCCAGTCATTAAACAAACTACCATATGCTAAGGAAATGAAGATTTAGTGATGGAAAACTGACCACATTAGATATTCAGATTTACACTTTTATGGAATACTCTGCAATTTTTAGACTATGAGCTAAATGTTTCCTTACATTCAAATAATGCACGACTATTTTACTACCCAAGGATGCCTCTGTAGTTTTGGCACACAAGCTTTATGATGCCTCTTTGGCCTGCCCAGTGGGTCTGTCTGTTTCTCAGTTCGAGGTTCCTTTCTGCGTGGTACCTGTTACCAGAAGTCTGTGAATCATTCAGACTTCAACTTTGTTGCATACTCAGAGAGGATGTTGTATTATGACAACGTGAATTCACAGCCCCATTCTAAACTCCATTTGTATTTTTAGGCTTATGGCTGGCTGCATGAAGACACAGGACCAGAATCTGACCCAGTAATAGTTGTGAGATTTCTCGGAACCACGGACATGAGCACTGACCTTAGAACTCTCCTTCTAAGTGTTTGTGAACAATTGGCAGTCAACTACCGGTGTCTGGTTCAGAGCTACCCTAAGAAGATCCATGACCTCTGTGACTTATTTATAAACCTTTTGAATGAGTCCTCACTGCAGAGACCTCTGGTAATAATATTCGATGCCCTAGAGCAACTCTCAGAGAATGATGATGCCAGGAAGCTCTGGTGGCTCCCAGCTCACCTTCCCCGCTTTGTGCGGATAGTCCTCTCCACACTGCCCAACAAACATGGGATCCTACAGAAACTAAGGTGCCTTATCCATGAAGAAGACAACTACATCGAGCTCATTCCCCGGGACAGGAAGATGTGCAGCCAGGTCCTCAAACACCAGCTGCTGCGGGTCAAAAGGAAGGTCACATCAGGCCAGCAGATTTATGTGAACAACGCATTCTCCAAGTGCACGTTGCCAATGTTTGTGAACCTGACCTTCAGGGAGGTGAGACATTGGCGATCTCATAAAGACGTCGATGAATCCTCCCTCTGTGTCACCGTTCATGAAAGTATAGAGCAGTTATTTTGGTCCCTAGAGAAGAAGTGTGGTCCAAAACTGGTCTCTAGGGCTCTTGGTTACATTACCATGGCCAAAATGGGTTTGAGTGAAATGGAACTGGAGGACGTGTTAGCCCTAGACAATGGTGTCATGAACGAGCTCAATGAAAACAGCAAGCCCAGCAATCCCCTGAGGGTACCTTATCTGTACATCGCGAGACTGAAGGAGGGTCTCACTGGGTACTTAATAGAAAGGCACGTGAAAAATGTCACACTCCTGGTCTGGGCCAACAGACATCTGCAGCTTATAGCCCAGAAGCTTTATCTGCAACAGGACAGTGACCTGCGTGAAATGCATACCATCCTGGCAGATTATTTTCTGGGGGTCTGGTCAGGGGGCAGGAGGAAAGCTTTCTGCCTTGAAGACTCCTACTTGAATGGCTGCCTTGACTTGGAAAGTAGAAGCGTACTTGAGGAAGAAAAACACTTCATGGAGCAAGCCTCCTTTGACAGACAGGCTCCAGACCAGCCCTGGGTTTTCCAGTGTAATCCACTGGAACCCGACATCTTTTTCGTCAATCACCGGAAGATGTCTGAGCTTTTGCACCACCTGACAAGGTGTGGAAAAACTGATGACCTACTTTATGGCATCATCATGAATTTCAGCTGGCTTTATACCATGATCAAAATTGGCCAGTTTGACAAAGTGCTTTCAGATATCGAGCTGGCTTATAATTATTCTCAAGAGAAGGAGCTAAAATTCCTGGCCAGCACCCTTCGTGGCATCAAAAACAAGGTCATTGCATTCCCTGGCTCCCTGTCAGCAGAGCTGCAGCAAAGACTGCTGCCTGTTATAAGTTCCCTGCCCAAACTTAGACACCTTCTTTTAGAATGTGACAAAGACGGGCCCAAGTATTGCTCCATTGTGCCACTGCATTCATCCATGGATGTGACATATAGTCCCGAGCGTCTTCCCTTATCATCCAGTCATCTGCATGTCACAGAGATTCTGCCCACCTGCAATCCTAGTACTGTCCTCACAGCTCTAGAAAATGGTTCCATTAGTACATGGGATGTAGAAACTCGCCAACTTCTCAGGCAAATTACTACAGCCCAGTCTGTCATCCTAGGCATGAAGCTCACAAGTGATGAAAAGTACCTTGTGGTTGCTACAACAAATAACACCTTGCTGATTTATGACAATGTCAATTCTTGTCTCCTTTCTGAAGTAGAAATCAAAGGAACCAAGCATGGAAGCAGCTCTACCTACATCAATGGATTTACACTGTCTGTCAACCATGCCCTTGCCTGGCTTGAGGCTAGCAAAGATGTCACTGTCATTGATCTGCTCTATGGATGGCCCCTTTACCAGTTCCACTGCTGGTATGAAGTGACCTGTGTTCAGTGCTCGCTCGATGGGGTGCATGCTTTCTGTGGACAGTATCTAAACACTACCACCATATTTCATTTAGGGAGTGGAGAAAAGTTATGTACGGTGACATCTGAGTTTTCAGGTGGGTTTGTGAAGTTTCTTCTTATTTTGGACACAGCTCAAGAGATGGTAATGGTAGACAGTGAGGGAAGTCTTTCTGTTTGGAACACTGAAGACATTTCCAACCCCCAGTTGACCGATGACTTTGACTGTCGGAGAGAAGACAGCGAAGTGGTCACCATTGAACTTTCAGAGGACCAAAGTGCAATTCTGATTTGTAAGGCTCTCAGCATTGAACTCTTAGATACTGGCATGTGGAAGGTGGCTGAAAAGTTCAGAGCCAAGCACAATGAACGCTTTATATCTGCTGTGCTGTCCAAAAATGGAGACTGCATCATTGCTACCATGGAGAATACCCAAGCTGTGTTCTTCTGGAGGCGGGACACAGGACAATGCATGGCAAGCCTACAGGAAGTCTCAGGTACCATAGTTAAATTGGTGAAATCCAGTCACCACAATATGTTACTGTCGTTATCAACTAGTGGTGTGCTTTCTATTTGGGATGTAGATATAATCACAGCTATGTCCAACATAGATAAGACTGGAAAACCCATTCAAAGCTTGGTGTTGCCTGCCAGAGGGGAAATAATTTACTCACTTGATGGCTCTGATTGTGTTCATAAGTGGAACTTCAGCAGTGGGTTCATCGAAGCAGTATTTAAGCATGAAGGAATAGTTGAACACTGTGTGTTAACATCTGCTGGAGACATAATGGTGACCTCAGATGACAAAAGCAGCCAATATGTCTGGCACACCAACAGTGGAGAAAACCTCTTCCGAATCAATGGGCAGAGAATCTCTCAGCTGCTAATTACACACAATGACCAGTTTGTGGTTTCCCTCTGTGAGGAAAATGCCTCCAGAGTTTGGAGACTAGCCACGGGCCACAGGGTCTGCAACATCCTAGCCACTTTGCAGAATGCCTTTATTACCTCGGCAAACACCTTTGTGGTGGGAATGACTAAAAGCAAGGTGTTGGCCGTCAGTCTTTGGACAGGAAGTATCACCAAGAAATTCTGCTGCGAAGACGGTACTACCATTGTGAATTTTAAACTGATCCCTGACTGTCCTGACATCATCGTGTTTATCACATCGGCTGAGACTGTCAACATCTGGAGCCTGACAGATGAGGTGATCTGTCGACGTGTGCAACTTCCAAACAACTTCTTGAAAAATCTAGAGGATTTTGAAATTTCTCCCAATGGAAAGCTAGGCATTATATCTAGGGGAGATGAAAATATCAACGTGCTAGACTTACACAGTGGTAAACTACGGGTGGTTCATGCCTCTGGAGTCATCTGGAGGCAGAGGTTGTCCCGCGATGGTCGCTACCTGGTATATATTTGTTTCCGGAATGGGGAGGAGGAGGATGAAAACGGTGCAATATCCAGCTTAATTGTAATGAGGCTGGCAGATGGCAAAAATATCGGTGCTTGTTCCCTGTACAAAACACCAACTTTCCTTGCACTCTCTCAGAGGCACCTGAACATCATTGTGGGATTTGACGATGGGAGTATAGGGATATACACGGTAGTGGACCGTGTAGATGCTGCGCTGAAGATTAAGATCGCCACTTCAAACAGCAGACAGATTTTCAACAGTGCAACCCAGACATCCAGACCAAAGTCTAACAGTTACTGTTTTAAAGTGTCTGTGGATTGCTTATGGAGAGAGTCCACTGAGGTCTTTGCAAGAGACAGTCCCATCACAGTAAGTGACTCTTCAGAGTCCAATGAAGCAACACCCTCGAAGAAACACAACTCTTGTTATGACCGGGTGTGCGCTGCTCTCGAACCCAGGGGCCACAGCTACAGCCCTGATAACTGACAAAATATTTATCCTGCTCCATGGAAATATGTGATCCACATACATAAGGAAAAATGAAGAGTGTCTTCTGGATCACAAATGATAAAGTACTCATTTGTTTAGAAGACAGCAGAGATGCTGGGATTATAGTGTTTTATTAATGTATTCATAATGCACAGAAATATGAAATGAGTTTTGAGTGCTGTCTTTTTTTTAGAAAATTTCTCAAAGTGGTACATAAATGGCTATTTCACCTGGAAGAGAGAGGATAGAAGGTTTTAAAATTAGCTGTGTGGTAAGAAGCAGTACAATTGATGTTCTTGGTTCAGATGAGAGAGGCTACAGTCACATGTAGACTGTTTGGACTAGCATTAGTTCTACAAAAAACAGTTGAAATCATGGAAATAATAGAGCTGTTGGACTTCAAATGATTGTGTGACAAGTAAAACACAGCCTTAATCTCTCTTTACATTTTCTGATCCAGACAACTGTGTAAACAAACCTAGTCTGCAGAGGAGAGGTCTAACGGTGCAAAATCATGTAACAAAAATGCCCAAATATATTCCCAGGAAACACGAAGTGTGAGACCATGAACTGGACTGAGACGAGAACCAGCTACCACTCTCATAGGGCTACTGCACATGGCGAGTCAATCCTCATTAAAATACAGTTCCAACAAGTGCATGAAAGGGTTTCTGTACAGTGGAATACATGATTTGTAAACTATTTACTTCTGGGGCTACAAAGAACATGTTTAATAAGAAACCACAATTTTTTCACATCTTTTTTGAAATGCATATTTGTGCTGAGTGTAAAGAAGTACAGAATGGGCATTACAAATTTGATCAAAACACTTGGTCATTTCTATCATTGTACTAATAAAAATTCTGTACTCATCATCCAACTGTATGGAAGCATAAATTATTTCCTAAGTCCCTGCAGTCTCTCTTAATAGAAAGCAAGTTTTCTTAACATGCCATCTCAGAAATACTGATGACATTTGCCTTACTTTCATCCTCTTCTTTCCTGTGTGAAACGGAGATAGATAACCAAATACTCTAGGCAAACTGAATATGCCTGTCTTTGTGCTAAAATATTCCATAAATCTTAAGGGTGTCCAAAGGTTCTTTATCGTCCCTGTTTGTAATCACTTTCTTACTTCTATACACTATATGTATGCTTCTCTATCTGTTACACTTCCAGGCTGAGGACTCTTCTGAGACTTTTATAGTCTTATCTATTTCAAAGCTGAAGCTCTGAAAAGATACCTAATATTTTTTAAAAAATCTACTTCATCTATTTAAAAGAAAATGTTACAAAGAAAGTGAAACTGATTTTCTTCCTTTAGTACTTTTCACATGGCATGTCTTTGGATAACTTTTCCTAGGGTTTGGTAGTTGTGGTTTGGTTGGGTTTCCTTTGAAAGTGGCAGTCACTTTAATAAGAATAATGAACAAGGAACTGTTTTTGTCCAATTCTGCCATGAACGTATATTCCCTAGCCAGATCTTTAATCTTACCAGTGTGTTATGTTTGTGAACTACAAAATAAAGGTAGTGATAGGTTCTACTATAGCCCCCTTGGGGATATTTGGGAGTAATGAGAGAAAAATATATAGTGACATTTTGATTGTTAATGCTAATGGGAAAAAAGTGATATAATATGTAGAGAATCCAAATCAATTGTCCTTCATTTTAGAAAGCAGTTTAACATGTAAGTGTTCAAAGACGCGATTCAGATATAAACACCCCACTCTATAGTGAAAGACTTTTCTCATTATGTTCCCCTGGTTTAGCTAGCAGCCAGGGAGATGATTGCCCTTTAGAGAGAGCTCAGACCTATGTACCAATCACCCGACGTGGATTGTATGAGTCAACGCTTTTTAGCTCTTCAGGCAAGACATTCTTACTCCTATCAGTTGGACCTCCATGCCATACATTTCTAAGAATTAAATTCCTAGATGGATTAAATGTAGTATGTGAATGTTCTGTGCAAAAGCCAATAGAGTACAACAAGTGACTTGAATGATTTTTTCCTAACTTGTTTGCAACTGATAGCTCATATTGAATGTTTTTATGTAAACTTTGTACTGTTGGGAAGAATTACCCAATCAGAGATTTATATTTTCATAAATGTTACATTTAGTTAAATTTTGTTACGGAGTTGTTACACTAGAAAATTATTTCAGTCTTCAAATACTATACAGTCTTGTGTATGTATTGTTTGTATGAATAAAAGACAAACCACTTAGATTTGTGTCCTGTTGGTTTTTCTCCCCCATCTTTGGCAGAAGCGGAAACCCTGAGCAGCAGGAATAATTGCTCGTGCTCATGGAATGTTTATAAAAGCACAAGGCCCTGCTGTCAATTTTGCATGTACTAAGCTGTGCAGTTTTCAGAATAACAATTTGAGATGGGTACTGTTACTATTCCATTTTCACAGATGAAGAAAACTAGACACAAAGGGCCAGGGAGAATAGCTGAACAAGAATTCAATGTATTATGAGGGTCTTTTTATTAACTTTTTCAAGGCCCATCAAAATATAGAATTCAGTATCCAGGAGACACTCATGGACAATGACCTAATTTGCAGATTAGAAATCAGTCTGGTTCCATGGCAATCACTGAAAGTTGCTATCAATTCTCAGGATTTTACATATACAGAAATAACTGATGGATTCACTCAGTGACTTTATTTTACTATGCATTTTATCAGGGACACAAAAGTAAATAAAATATCTTATGCCTTTTAGGGTTTCATGTATAACAGAAAAACAAGAAACAAGTTCTCTATGTTCAAGGGTCAGGGACCTCTCTCTGGGGCTAAAGGTAGAAACGGGGAAGATCATGACCATGAGGTTTCACCCATACACTCACTATAAGTGAGAGAGCAGGACCAATGAAGACCTCAGATTCATGTTTTTAAACCTCTTGGGCCTGCAAAACTCCATGTACTCACATCTGATTATTTTTCAGTAAGGGCAACATTGAAGATCTGGAGTAATAAGTAAGCAGTAAGCCGAAACTTTATACAGTATCTAGTTGCCAAGAAACAGTCATTCTCAAGGAAACTTAAAATCAGAAGTTTCAGAAAAAATTACCAGGTTTATTTCCCTCATCGACATATGGCTAAAACCTCTGTTGAAAGTTTACCACCTCCCCACTGACACACACACACACACACACACACCCCAAAACTTATTCCATTATGTATGCCAGGAACCACCTTGGCTCCAAACTATATCCTTTAAGGTGAAGGTTTTTGCTACTGTGGTGCCAGGGATCAGAGCTTTGCACATGTGATGCAAGCACCCCTCCAAGAAACTACTTGGATGTTTGCTATTTATCTTCCTTCCTACAACCAATACCAGAAATACTGCATACTTCCTACAGCCAACATATTATGCCCTGGAACGAAAACTAGTTCTACATGATTCCTGTCCAGAATGCTAGCGTCAGTAAGAGACACAACTAAATCGGATACAGGACTGTGATTAAAACATTAATAAAAGCAAAACCCAGGTGCTGAGAATACACAGCAAAGGCACAATTTACCTGGGAATTGAAAAGGCTGAACCAGAGGAGACAACACGCTTGTCAAATAAGTTAAGACTTTTCTGTCAGGTATTTCAGAAGAAGGGAGCTGCACGGACAAAAATGGAGAGTTGATGTATATTTTGGATGACTGCAAATGCTACACAGGGACTTTATAATTTCTTAAGTAGTCATTGGGAGTAGTGAAAAAGACTTTGAGAAATGCCATGACCTGGTTGGAATGATATTTTGGGATGAATGACGCAGGCAACACCTTATCAGATAGATTAGAGATCAGATGGATTACAGACCAGGGCTGTTTACTGCCACACCAAAATAGGGTGGAATTTTTGTTGTTTTTGTGGTTGTGTAAACTGATACTATAAATTTTTACAATTTTCATTCCTTTTAGAACTATTTGACAAATTCGGAACTATGATGTACTTAATAGGTTTTTTCTTATCTTCCATGAGTTATTAGTCTGGAACAATTTATATCCCAATAAAAACATGAATACACCTAAAAAACTAAGAAAATCCTGATGTTTTTGGTCTAATGGGCATAAAGAAACCGTAAGTTTTTCTTCTGTATTTTTTACCAAAATTGTCTTAGATCTCCATTTGGCATTCTAAATGACGTACACAGAACATACCTGCTACTTTGCATAAACATATGAAGAATTTGGTTTTAATATATGAACATGAAAAATTATACAGCATTGGTACTTTGAGGTGATAAATAGCAAGAGAACCTCTGGCTTTACAGAGTGCCTGGCTATCCGGATGACCTAATTTAACCACCTGGTTGAACACACTCAGAGCAGCAGTTCTCAAACTAGACTGTGCATCGCTTGTTAAACCATAGATTTCTTCACTCCCCATCCCATTTCTGAATCAGTATGTCTAAAGAGGGACCCAAGAATTTATGTTTTGACTGAATTAGAATGATATTGAATCTGCTAGTCTATGAACCATGCTTAAAAATCCGGGACAAATCCCAAAGTCCTTTTGGTCACAATAGTTTGATAAGTGTACCAATTTTCTGTGGACCTTATTATAGAGAGAGAGCGGGAAGTCGGACACAAGAGTTGTTGTGACACAAGATTTTAAAAATCTGAAAATGACTTCTAAAACCACATGTAACTTCCCTCAAAGCTCTACCACTTTAGTGATTAGCTATTACAAAGGCACAGCCCAAATCATTGCGTTTCCTCGCCTCCCCAGAGCGTGGCAAACGCCTGTAAATGCAGCTGGAACCATAAACAGGACATATTTAAAAACTAAGGACCGCAGGCTTTTTGGGTCCAGTGGCTTCTCCCACAGCCCGTTTTGTCTTTACTGTCCCTGAATAATTTAGAGAGGGGGAAGAGCGTAAGCTAGATGGCGCAGTTGCTTAACACATTTTTCTGGCGAGGCCCAAGAGCGCTTTGGAGCGCAGGTGAAAAGAATGGCCAGACCTTAAAGTGGAATCTTAGGATAAGCAACCAGCCTTCTGCCCATGTAGGTATCCACTGCGAGCGCTCAGATTGGATGGAGTGTCACACCCCACGTCCTAACACCCCAGAAAAAGAAATGGGAGCAGAGGTGAGGATGAGGATCAGAACCATGAGTTCTGAACAGGAGCTGCGTTTCCTGAACTTCTTTGGTGAATTTTAGGGCGCAGACGAGTAAATGCAACTCTCCTGGGAATATCAGAGGTGCATCTCGGAACATCCAGCCACGAACACAGGCGACAGACTGAGCACATCGGATCTGCGCCTCAAGCCAGAAATGAGCAGGAAGCCTAGAAACCCAGAACGCCAGGGTGAGGGATAATGTAGGGGCGGGGTGAGCGTCTATGGAACCCACACACTTAAGTCGCCGATCCTAGGGAATTTTCTTTTTCCAACAAAAAAGAGGCACCGAAGTTTCCCAGGACGGCGAGCAAACTAGGTGTCCGTCAGGCGCCCCGGATTTTCCGCCTCCGTGCGCCCCCTCCGGGAGGTCGCGGGGGCCGCGCACTGCAGCCAGGCGCTGAGGGGCGCGGGCGCGGGGCGCAGGTGGAGCCGGCGGAGCCCGGAGCGCGGAGCCCGCCCGGAGCCACGTGACGCCCGGGCCCAATGACCGCGCCGCGCTCGGCCGCCGCGCACCTCTCCCGCCCGCGGCCGCAAGCGGTGGGGCGCCGCGACCCCGGCCCCAGGTAGGGACCTCGCGGCGGCAGGAGGCGGGCGGGCGCGCGTGGGGTGCGAGCCCCGTCCTCCCGTGCGTCGTCCCCACGGCTTCATTTCCTTCTGTCCTGGAGGAGAAAAAACTCAGAGGTGGGGGGATGGGGCGCGGCAGCTCGCAGTTTGGTGACTTGGGGAAACTCCGGGAAGGCGCGGTGAGGGAGGCAGAGCGGGTCCCCGATACCCCGAACTAGGTCCAGGCGTGCAGAAAGTTTGCTCGGCGCGGAGCTGGCTGCGGCACGGCTGGCTTTTAAATCCCCACTTACTCGCTTGCAAGCAGTGCCGGAGAACTTGAGTTTGCAAAACTGCGAGAGGTTCGGACCTGTTTCGGTGCCCCCTGGTCTCGCGTTTAGGCATCTCAGGGGCTCTAAACAAAACGGAAATGGAGTTGGCCGAGCCTGGCAGGACCGCCGCGGGGTCCCGGGGTGACTCCGGGTCCGGGGTTCGGTCCCCACCCCCACCCCCGCGGCGGCCGGCAGGGCTGGGGGAGGGCAGGGGCCGAGAGGGCGCCTGGGACAGACGACGGAGAAATGGGCCCAAGCTGCTAAATACTGCTGGGTCACCTGGGTCTCGTGGACCTCGGCAGCCCTAATGAAGTGAGCCTGTTGCGGAGAAGGGGGGGGGGGCTTTGTTTTGAGTTGCATGGGGTAGAAATCATGCGTCCCCGCTTCCCCAAAGCACCGTGATTAACCTTTAAAAACAGAACAAAATGCACTAACTCCCTTTAGTGACTTAGTGTTTTATTTTTCCGTCGAAGCGTAGATATTTGGCCAGTGAATCTAGAGGAGCCTGGGATGATGGGGGGGGTCACATAATTAAAAACGTGGGTGTTTCTTTTCTTCCTGTCACTTCGGGGGAGAGAGGTACCGCGCTTCTGTGCCGGGCATGTGCCCGGTGGGTGAGTGATTTTAACCACGCTATTGGGAGGAGAAATTGCTGAAGAAAGAAAGAAAAGCATTAGAGGGCTGAGTTGGAAAGAAACAGAGGTGGCTGCTGTGTTTTAAAGATAATGGGTTCTATATTTACTGTTTCTTCTAACATCTCGTCTTGGTTAATACTTTCCTACGAAGGCAAAAACAGATGTTAAAGCTTTCTGTATCTAAATGCAACTACCTAAGGAATACTTTATGGGTCCCTTCCATAAAACCACTGCCCTGACGCGAATAACTAAACAAATTGAAGCTCTGGAGGTGAAAGAAAAAGAAAAGAGAGAAAGGGAGAGAAGGAATCGGAGGAAGGGAGGTGCAGTTTATGCCTCTTCCTTGTCCATTCTGCCAGGTCTCAGAGGCAGCTTCTTCCTTCATTCTGCAAGTGTGTGATAAGAAGCAATGTCATGTCCCTGGCTGCTGGGCCTCATACAGGCCATGGTTCTAAAGATTTAAATACCTAGCGATAGCCAACGAGAAGTAGGACTAATATTAGCTGTGTTCCATAGAACTTTTTTTTTTTAATCTGCAATTTAAAACAGCAGAAGTTTGACTGGCACTAAATGTATTCTGTTACCCTAAAAATGA